AGACGATTACGACGAGACGAGTAACTAGTACTAGAAGAGACTAGAGTAGAGACGAGAGATAGAAGAGAGAGAAGAAGAGAGAGAGAGAGAGAGAGAGAGAGAGAGAAAGAGAACCCCAGCACTGATCTGTTAAGCTTACAACAAAGTTCAGAACAAAATATGCAGAAAAATCTTAGCTTGAAAAACAACCAAAAAAAAAATCTCAGCTTTAACAAGATAGAGAGAGAGAGCACCCAAGCACGAATCTGATAAAATTACAAACCCAGTTCACAGAAAAAACACAGAAAATTTGCAGATTTCTAATTTCAATGAGCAGGAAAAGGAACCACTTACAGTGGATACACTAAAGTGACAATAGGCCTGAAAACAAAACATTCCAAACCATAAAACAGTAAGAAAAATCGCACAAATAAGCTCTAAAAATTACTAATTTTACTCAATATCACAGTTCATATAAAGTTCATTAAACAGAAATTAAATCTGAGAAAAAACCCAAAATTTTCACACACTTAATTTCAAGAAAGTTTGACAATGTACCCTGCAAGAACATCAATATTTTGAGCCACCACCTTCAAAAAAGCTCCAAGTCCCATTATTAAATCGCCGAAAACAGTGCAAATGCTTATTTGCCTGAGAAGAAATACAGGGCTTCAGAGAGCAGGTAAAGAAAAGTAATTCTCACAGCAAAAGCATGAAATCCAAGGAGCAGAAGAGGCTTCAGGGTCGTGAGAAAAAATTACCAGAACTAGCCCCGGCTTATTTACCAATTTTCGTAAGTGTACTTCGAGAATAGTACCAGTTTCTAGAAGTGACCTTCGAGTTTGGTTTGGGATCGCATATATGGTACCCCTGCGGGATCATGCTATACGCCAAATCTCTCTGGTAAATGAACTATTTTGAGGGGGCTGTAATTTCATTCAACGGTTATATCATAGTATAATGCAACTACACTTTTAGAAAACCACATTTGTGGTATTTGTAAGACTCAAAATTTTACATACACTCTTTTTATCTCTATAATCAATTTCAAAAAAATGAAAGTTAGATTTGATATGGTCAAAATGAGTCCCCACCAACAACAAATCTAGACCATTCATTTAGTGAATTTCAAGATCTTAGCCTTTACAAACTCAAAATCATTTTTTTCTTTTTTCACATTGTTCATCTAATGATAATATAGTCATCTAAAAAACTTGAAGAAAAAAAAAAGTCTTTCTAGGGCCTATATCTATGCATCTCACCAAAATAGACAGCCTATGTTAATTGGGCGAAACAAAAACTTTCTGGGTTGTATTTTCAATTTTTTCTTTTTTTGATTGTTCAATAGAATGAAAAGAGTGTATATTTCAAATTTTTGATAAAAAAAATGATCCTAACATGGTTTTTTAAGGTTGTTGCATCATATTACTATACAACCGTTGCATGAAATCACTACCCATATGAAGGGGTTGTTAGACTTTAAATTTTATCGATTCACTCTGTAGCAGTTTTCGACTACTCAGTCTGAGTTCTAAGTACTCAGGCTTGGCCCCCTTGGCGTGCTTGAGCTTCCCCGAGTGGGGTGTCCCACTTGGGAATATTAAAAAAATCATAAAAGATTTGTGATATGTTTATCTATTATTTTGACAATGATTAGAACGTGTTTCGGCCATAAATATTATATTTTTCATTCTTTTTAGATTATTTCTAAATTACCTCCGGTCACAAAATTTATTTTTTCAAACTCCATTTTTCTCTAATTTTTTATCACATTTAGATGAGTTTTAATTAATTTTACTATAAATCTATTTTTATTTTTTTAGATATTTTTATATTTTTTATTTGTATTATTTTTTGTTGCTATAGTACTCAGTCCTACTAAGGCCGAGTACTAAGCTCGAGCATGGACTTAGTACTTGGCTCGAGTTGTGGTTTCGAACACTGCTCAATAGTTACTAAGTAAATACTTTGAAAAAATATTTGGTCTTAGATAAATTTAGGATTATATTTTACTATTGAAAAATTGAACCGTCTCAGTTCAATATTTGGTCAATATCTTTTAAGTTACATCTAAATTCTTACAAAAAAAAAAAAAAAACATTTTTTTTCTTTAAGGTTAACCTATAGGTTGAAGAGGTTATACTCCTAAAATTTGGGATTCTAAAATACAATAGGATTTTACGTGAGGGAGTGAAGAAACAAATTAGCCACTAAAAGAGCTTTTGTCTTTGGTTTTTAATTTTCCAAAAATATGGTATAGTTTTCTAAGTTTTGTTTTTATTTTTCTTAGTATCTACCGTTTCAAAAGTTTGATTAAACATTGTGTTTGAAATGAGTAAATTTCAATATTTTTTGTTGAGAAAGTTTTGGTGTTGCCTAAGGTGAACCACTAATGTGATGACTATGTAAGCATGCTTTTTCTCATCCAAACCATCTAAAATAATACGACTTTGTCGGAGCGTGCATTGGAATTGATAATAAATTAGAAAGATGCACGCGAAAAGAGGCAAGCAAACAATTAACTCTAAAGTTACTCCCTCAAAATCAACGATTCCTTTAGTAAAAAAGACTTTTAGCGACAAAAGATAAGAATACTTCCATGCAAAATACACTTTAGATTTTATTATTATTATTATTATAATAAGCATATCACATAAATTTTTTTAAAAAATGATATTATTAATTAGAAAAGATATGAAGATTTATGATCTTCCTGAAAATCGAACCCGTAATAAAACAAAATGACTTATTAAAATACGTAAACTTGATTTCAATTAGCTAAAATAGAACTTCGAAGATGAAGATAAAGTCTTCCCTTTTCATTTGATAATTATATGAAAAACCATGCCTGCTAAGATATTTGGAGGTCGGATTAGATTCCTAAGAAACCAGGGGTACTCTTGTCCTCAGTAAAATTAAAGGGTAATTTGGTAATTTGTCTTCTCACTTTAATCCTCTCTTTATCAACTTTAGGTCAACAAACCGCGTTAGTCCAGCACAAAAGGAAAAAGAAATAAATATCTGTCGTTATTTTAATATGAACGGAAAAAAGAGGAAAAGCATATTCAATTTTCCTAATAAATTATAAAAAACTAAAAAGAAACCATAATGAACTTCACAATCCACAGGCATTGTTCTTGATAATTGGATTCCTTTTAACATTCCTTGCAACCTGTGTTTATGTCTCTTTAGCTGATCCAACATTCCAAATTGTGGCGATTTCTTCTCAATGTTTTTTCTCCAAATCATCGTTATTGTTTTAGACCAGATGGATCGTTCAGATCCCGATACAAATTAAAAAAACATAACCGGAAACAGGCTTACCAGCCCAAATTGAGCCTTGGCTTACCAACCCCAAAAACAGATCGGATGGGATATTTCCCAAGGTGTAGTTAATTCTCCACCGTTGGGATTTGAGTCTTAATCCCCAAGGTTTCTTGCTGAAATAGAGATTGCATATTATGTCTCTCAACACGTATCATCGTACTCAGTATCCTGGTTCCCATCTAATATTTCCAAGTTAGGATTCTACGCCTCATCAATTAGGAAATGTGGAATGGAAAACAGAGAATAAAACTCCATGTACTGTATATCCAGCAGTAGCATATTGGACCGCCATATTGTATTTTTAACTCCTTTAGGCAAAATAGCCACTTTGGAAGATTTTCGGATCTCAAACTTTGATATCCACTTTACAACAACTCTTAAACGGATTTTTTCCCAAAAAAAAACAAAAAAGGACTTTTGAGTTCCAAAACACTTGGATTTGGCCATCGAACAATTGAAAATCACACACGCACGCACACATATAGTTATAGTTTGGGCGTGGTTTGTGTAAGGCGGAGGCTCTAAACAATCAAAGTAACTTGCAGCTTCAAATAGCATCAAAAGATGTTGCAATACTGGTAAATCGTTGTGATGGCCTCAAATTTTAGTTTCATCTCTAATTATAAAATTTTAAAGCTTCAAAATAGTGTAGATCAAGTAGATCCATAAACACTTGTAAATCGTGAAAATTCACAATCCAAATAATACATTACAAGATGCACTATGTCCAAGACTTAAATCCATTTTGATGATCAATTTGAAGAATTTTTAGCATTGAAACAAATGATGAATTTTTGAGGTGCACCTTAATTTGATTGTTTGGGGCCTCACCCTTATATAAATTTTTTCCGATATAAAATGGTATTTTAGTCCGTTTAAGCACATATAAAATGTTATGATTTTGATCTATTTTGAAGTTGGTAGTTGGTTGGCCACTAGATTGAGGGGATTATATCCCAAACCTTTGGCATCCTAAACTTTTACCTTACGGAGTGAATGCGCATATGCTCCTGCAGGAGCATATATTCTTTTGGCACAAAGCAGGGTAGAAACCATGCATTCTCATTCAGATACAGGGGGACCTTTCAAACATCTTTTGCTTGATTGGTGGTCAATGCAATAATCCATTAGCCATATAAAGCATTTCATGAACGAGACAGGAGAATAGCTTTTCTTAGGGCAGGTTAAAAGATAAAGGGTTCATGCACAAAGAGCACTAGAACAGCGAATTTACCGTAGGAAATAACTCACCACCCCAGCCATCCATCAGATGTCAACTGCAGATGGCTGGGATGCACCCTTCCTCGCCAGTGGGGACATCTTCTGGATGGGCTAATGTGTTCTTTCCTACAGTAAATTGACAGCACTCATTGAACACTTCCCAACCTGACATTGCCCATTATTAGTGTTTATAATTAATCATGTCACCATAGCGATGATAAGGAAGGCATCTCCAAAAGCAATCAGCATCTGGAACACTCATTTATATTATAGCAGTGTATGCTATATCGTAGACCATGGGACATCAACCATCCATTATTCATGATGGATGGCACAGATTAACAGGTTGCAAGACGAACAGTTAATCTCCCTGTCAACTTGACCACCCACCCACACACACCCACCCCACCCACCAACCTACCACATAGCATTGAAAAGTTTGTAAAACTGATTTGCAGTAGCTTTACAACAAGGAATAATAGCAATTTCTTACTAAAAAAAATTGATCTGCTCTGGTATGCAGCCTGGAGTTAAAACTATCATGAAGGCAAACTGGCTTCAATCAAAGAAAATAACTGAGAATGTAAGCTCTTAGCCTCTTACTCTTCATGAGGCATGCACCACTTTGATCTATTTTGGTCCTCCATTTTCAACGACCCACCAATCCGATCCTATCTTTTCGAATTGCCTGAGAGAGATTCAGCTCAAAAAGCTCACAACGAATCGGCATCTCCATTTCGTAAAATGGGTTTTTAAGAACATAATCAGTGTAAAGCTCATAGATGTGTTTGAGGAGAGCTTCCATGTGCTGTATACCAGGCTCACAGACTACAAAGAACTTGGTCCCTGCAAAGGAAACCCTCTCAAATTACCAACAGCTGAAAGAAAACCAAATACATCAACATCCGAATCAACCCTTTACTTGTAATTAATGATTTTAACTTAAATCTAATCATTGCTTGAAACTCTCTCTCTCTCACACACACACACACAGTTACACAGCAACAAACCTATCAATGCCCTTCACAACAAAACACACAAGGGGTGTCCTACCAAAAGTGTTACTGAGGCACGTCACATGTCAATATGTGTTCACATTTCCACACATGCCAACTCTTGCAGACACCTTAATATATTAAAAATAATAAAATACTATGATGGGGTTCCAAGTTGGGATTTGAACTCTAGCCATTTTGGCTTGGAAGAACCTCTACCACTTCATCATCCACTTCATGTGACACACAATATATATATATATATATATAGGGAAAAGATCATGTCAACCCACGGGCTGATAGCTATAGTGTCAACCAATAGCTCAGATTGAATCTGGGCCAATCTGATGTCACGACTTCATTTTGTGTTTGAATTTTCATGTTTTTTCTACAGATCCAAATCACTTGAAATTTATAGCGTGTCTATTCTTCAAAAAAAGAAGAATCTAATAAAAATATAAAAACAGTAATTTGTAAAATATAAATTGACCAAAATACCCCCAAAATGTCTCGGGACATTTCGAGGGTATTTAGGTTAATTTATATTTTACGAATTATTATTTTATATTTTTATTAGGTGCATCTTGATGAAAAGAATGAACTCTTAAAATTTCAAGTGATTTGGATTTGTAGAAAAAAAAAAATTTCAAAGACGAAATGATATTGTAACCGCCAAATCAGCCCACATTGAATCTGGGACATTGGCTGACACTGTAGCAGTCAGCCCGTGGGCTGATAGAATCCACTCCCATATATATATATATATATATATATATATGGGCTGACATACAGATACTCCTCAACATCACTCATGTCGGTGTCCATATAACACTGCCTTGCCCAATGCCTAATTGTAGTATCAACATATATTGTTCCAAGTTCCAACCATAGATATCAGGAAACAAATTTTAACACATGCATCCATAACGCACCAGACCAGTTTCAGCTCATCCATATATATTAGCGTACTATAAAGGAGAAGAACAAATATCTCTCATAATGTAGCAGAACATATTCATAAGACTTTACCTCTCTCACTATTAGAAACTCAAAATACTACAGAGAATTCTCTCTTTATTAATTGATTAATCAATAATATACAAGACCCCATATAAATATACGGCCAGTAACAATTAAAGATAAATACCAACGGTTATGGATAATTACTAACTAATCTTATCATAATCAAGAAACACCTAATTAAGAGATATATGCCCATACAGATACATATCCGTATCGATATGTATTCATAATGATGTATATCAATACTAACAAGATATCCATATGCTAACACTCCCCCTCAAACTCAATATGCTTTTTCACAAAGCAGCTGGAGTTTGAACAATAAGTTGCATAATTAAATGGTCACGTGCATGGCGAGACCAATAGAAGCAATGGTCTCTTGCTTGAACAAGATGCACAAAATGGCACTAGGAAGAACCAACTCGGTGTGGATCCGAGACAGATTCAGCAACTCGCAGTCCGGGACAGATTCAACAACTCGCAGTCCAAGACACAGGCCAGAACAAAGACAAAGGTTGTTTTGCAGAGAGTCGAAACAGACTCGGCAGAGAGTCGAAACAGACTCGGCAGAGAGTCGAAACAGACTTGGTAGAGTTGAAACATGACTCGAAGGCCTTCGGCAGTGCTTCCTTGGTCTATGAGTTTCTCTCACTAAACTGAGAGTATTGATTGATTCAACCATGGACGAAGAGGAGAGCTAAAGTTTTTTGATGAAGATGAGAGCTGAAGTTTTTGTGCTTTAGAATCGAAGGGATCGATAGAAGAAGCTTTGTTGTACCGCAAGTTTTGAGTATGACTTTGTTGGGGTAAACAAAGAGGCTTGACTTTGAGAGGACATAGGAGTAGGGGAATTCATTAGAGAGAGAGTCGACAATTGTACACCATGTAGAGTCAAGGATCTCTTCGATTTGTGCACGAGATAGGGTGCGAAGGCCAAGACCTTTGGGGTCAACAAAGACCGAGGGCTTCGAGAATATGATTTCAAGCAGCTTCTCAAACTCCTCAAAGCCAATGGGGGAATCAAAGACCTTTCTTATGCAAATCGCATTCAAAGTGCAAGGGAATAGAATGCATATTGAACAGAAACAAAGGTTTTGTATATAGATGGTGCAAGCTCTCTTGTGCCCCTTTGGGAAGGAGGGGATTAGATTACTAATGTGGCGTTGGACCAAACAAGGGCGACAGCAGGCAATGCAATTCGATGCAAAACGGTGACAAGAGTAAGCAATGCAAGTCAATGCAAACAATGATGAGAGCAGGTGGCCTTTTGAAAACATAGTCTCATAAAATTTCCCGACCTCAGATCTGAGGTTGGCGACCTTAGATCTGAGGTCAGCGAGCCCAAATCTTAGGTTGAAGAGTTTATAGCTCTGATACCATATTAGAAACGCAAAATACTGCAGAGAACTCTCTCTTTATTAATTGATTAATCAAGAATATACAATACCTTGTATAAATATATGGCCAATAACAATTATAGATAAATGCCAACGGTTATGGATAATTACTAACTAATCTTATCATAAGAGACACCTAATTAAGAGATATATACCCATACAGATACATATCCGCATTGATATGTATTCATAATGATGTATATCAATACTAACAAGATATCCATAGGCTAACACTCACATCGTGATTTACAAGTTAAACAGTTTCTTTTTCCTTTCCATAGGCTCAATAGTTGCTCTGAGAAATTAAAATTATGACTATCTAATACTCAATGATCACACCTTTCAGACCACAGTTGGAGGCACACCACAAGATATCAAGATGCAGGGCCCCTCTTTAACAGCCCCTTTATGTTGCCAATTTGGTGAGGGAATTCCTAGAATAGTTGCCTCTTCTAAAGAAATGAACACACAATGCTGATGAACTCTCTCCCTAGACTAACATATTGGCCATCTAATGTCCATTTGTCTGAAAAACGTCATGAGAAACATTGAGAACGTGTTATATGTTAGTAGCATTGAAATTGGAGTATTGGATTATCTCATTCAGTTGACCCATTCAGTTGACCAGCTAAAGATGCCACGTCAGAGGTCTGGATTGGGATTTCAAGTGAGAATTAAGTACCTTCATCAAAACATTCCAATGGAAATGGTTAAGCCGTGTCTAAAATTTCAGACACGTGTTGTTCCATGGTTGTCAATATGTGCTAAAAACCACATACATCTCAAAGTTATATAGCATCAAAATAAAAGGCTAAGCTATCAAAACCTGGAATTACAGACTTTGCTAGCGGTGCAGGTCACAAACGTTCCTAAGGGAATCCGTCTGAGATGGTTAATCATTAACTGACTTCTTATCATTTCACTTCATGTGGGGAATCCTAAAAAGCAACAATGGGATTTGGGGGTAAAGATCATAATACAATGTCAAACTTTTGATTTCGAGGTGGCACCACCCAATTTAACTTCAACTTCATTGATATAGCCATTCGCTCATTGCCTTTGTTAGACCTATCCTGAAACTATCAGGAAGAGGCTTGAAAAACTTCATAAGAGACAATGTTAGGTGCAGAGGAATCCAAGAAATAGAATCCATCTCATGCAACTGAACGAATGTCACACACTGAAGACGCATGGGACCTGGGGAACTAAAGAGATTTAGAGGAGTACAGGGTGGAGAATGTATTATGTCTAGTATAGATTGTGTAAATCCATGTGTAGGAGTTTGTGCATTCCCCCGAAGGCCCAGTTGAATGGAACATGGAGAAAGGAGACAACAATTACAGTGGCAGCCTTGTCATGGCTGTGGCAAATAAAATTTTCATAGCTGATTAATTAAGAAATAAGGACTTCTATGTGTGCCTTTCAAACCTTTGTGTGTGCTTTGCTCTTAAGTTAAATGTTCATCACTTATTAAAGAAAGAAAATCATGCTTAGCACACCAACCACAACCCTTATGGTACATATTTTGACATGCAAGAATAGCTTAAAACATAAGAGAATACAAACAGAAAGCCTAGCCTGCCATTTTCTAGAATAAGCCTTGCCTGTAAGTGACTGAAAGCAATGGAGGTCAAATGTATCCGCCTCAAGTAGTTCAATTCCTGTACAACCAATAGTAGGAGATAACTGTTGTGAAATCGCATGCATAGAGTGCCATAAGCTCGCTAAACGCAAGCTATCATTTGTGTCCATGCGCCCTGCTGATCCATAATCCTGAAGACAAAAGAAATTGGCAACCATCAAAACTGTGGAATAAGAAGGATGAGCAGCTCATAAAGTCATTAGATGATATTTGCTAGTGGCCATCAACACGATTTGGCATGTAGCAAAGAATGATCAATGGTTTGTACTTACAGTGACACCCACATGTAAGCCATATAACCATTTAGCTTAAAAAAACAGACATTACAAAAACGAAATGCATATTGCCTACCTATATTGGAAAGAGAGCTACCTTATAAAATATAAGTCCGCCAGATTTGTTTATGATGAAGAGACTATAGATAGCAGCCATCTTCTTTACCCAAATCACTGTAACATGAGCCTCAAAGTCATATGAATTGGACGCAGAAAGTAACAACTGTCCAATTAGAGGTGGCATGGTTTATTTCATAGCATTAAGCGCCGTTTTGTAGTCATTGTTGTTTGAATTGAGTGCATAAAGGGATGGATCCAAAAGACCCAAGCTCATCCTTTCCTTTCCAAACACAAGGGATTGATTCAAAAACAAATAAATTTTAAAATTCCCTTCCTTCCTAAACACAATGTTATGCTATAGAAACAAGATTTCGAATGGCAGGTTGTTGAATAAGGTACAACCTGAAACTAATTGAAAAGAAAACCATTAGAGGAAAGTAAATTAATATGCATGCATGTACTTATACGAGAAAATAACAAAGAAATACAATGGGTCAGAAGATCAGTGTTCAAAAACTCAAACTTAGTTGCCGGTGATTTTTTGCATTGTTTGTGTGAAGATTCAATGAGAAAACCATGCTTATAACGAGAATTGAACCCTACTCATCACCTAAGTCATACCTACATGCTACCACATCCGAAGACAGAATATATTTGTCAAATTAACACTAAATTGTATACTAAAATTTATATACAAGTAAAAACTAGGGCACAGAATCAATTTTACTGATAAAAGTCAACAATAAGTAGATTGCAGTTTGCAACTTTCATCACCAAAAACAGAAAAGAGTGATTTAATAAAGAATATTAGCACAATGTAACCCCCCAACAAAATCATAGACACAAAATCATAGAACCAGGAAGACGAAAAATTAACCATTTGATATATGGAAAACAACATCATACATCGCAACTTCTTTTACACAATCATGGAATTCAAAGATCCATAAACTCCACTGGATCGAAGAAACAGAGAGAGAGATTGACCTAAATTTTGCAGAGAAAGTGATAAACTACAGGAAAGAGCAATAAAAATCACAGGACAACGAAAAAAAAAAACCAATTAGCAAAATTACACTTACAGTTCAAACCAGATGTGCCCCAAATCACTCAAATCATACTTTCTTTTCACTGTGATATCAGCTGCTTAAAAGACATGATTTAAGCTCAAATGAAAACACCGCTTTCAAGACTGGATCCGTACCGTCCATCTTCCATAGACGGCTCAGAGGAAGTATGCGTTTAGGAATATCATAAAAAGGGTCAAAATGCCTATGGGGTTACTTAAAAAGGAATCATGATTAAATCCTCGTCTAGAAAGCACTTTTTGGAAAATCTCCATTTAAATCAAATTTTAACATCGACGATCAAATTTGAACTCAAATAATAGTACATATCCTATGGATTTATGAATACTTATTTTTAAGGTAAAATAGATGGTCCCTTATGGATTTATGAATACTTATTTGGGCAATGATTTCAACCATTGTATAGTAATATGATACAATAACTTTAAAAAACAATCTTATGACCATTTGTTTGATCCAAATTTTGAAATATATATTCTTTCATTCTAATGAACAATCACAAAAAGATAAAAAATTGAAAACACAATCTAAAGAGTTTTTTTTAGCCCAATTAACATAGGCTAGTCATTTTGGTGAGATACTTAGATCTAAGTCTTAGAAGGATTTTTTCATTTCCAATTTTTTGGATGGTTTTATTATCATTAGATGAACAATGTTAAAAAGAAAAAAATAATAATTTTAAGTTTATAAAAGCTAAGATCTTGAAATTCATAAAATTAATGGTCTGAATTCGTTTTTGAAGGGGGACTCAATTTGACCACATCTAAGGTTTAAATTGAACTTTTTTAGGGGGATTGATTATTGAGATGAAGAAAGTATGTGTAAAATTTGAGGTCATACAAATACCACAAATATGGATTTCTAGAAGTATCGTTGCATTATATTATGATACAACCGTTGTATTGGATCATTGCTCTACTTATTTTAAGGTAAAATAGATGGTCTAGATAATTTATTATAATATATATTATTCTTATAGCTTAAAATCCTAATTTTTTTCTCAACCCCGTATATAAGTCAAGATGATCGATGTAAAGGTTTTTAAATGCTTGATTTGTAATTTTTTTGAATTTTAAGGTGAGGTTTTTACTTATTTTAATACGGTTGCAGCCCTATATTATTTTCCTTAATAATATTGTTATGGTTTCTTGCATGCTCCAAATAAAATCGTTAAATAGTTATATGTTTTCTCTCATGAAGCAAATTAATCATATCATGTGGTTTTTAATGAAATTTTTAGACAAAAACAATCCGTCAAGTAGATGCTAGATGCTCTAATTCATGATATAAAATTATTATTATCTTCACACCAAAATCATTTCATGCTTTTAAAAGGTGTGGTTTCTATAAGGCCGAGGCTCTAAATCATCAAGAGCCCGCCATTTTTTAGGATCACTCCGAACCAGCAATTTTAAAGGGAACATGCCAGTTCCCAATATTCAGTGGGAACTGATTCGGCCATGAGGGTCCCAATTTGCGATTTTCGGTTACCCTCTACTTCGATGGTTTGGAGTATCGGCCATATAGAAACCACACCCTAAAAAAAACCTAGTTTATGAAATATTTTAAGAGAAAAAAAAAAAAGCGTCTCATACCATTTTAAAATTTATTTTCGAGGTATTTTATCAATTATTCCACATTGTAAGTATGAATTTATTTATTTATTTTTAAATTTTAATAAATATGATTGTAAATTTATTTTTTTGAATTCTATATTTTTGTCCACACTAATTGCTGGACATTACATTAATTATTAGACATTACATTTATTTATTTGTGAACGTCGTATCCTTGTTTTTTTACTCTATTAAATCAAAAAGTCCAAAACTACTTTTTACTATAAATTTGAATCAAAGAGATCCATTCTATGCAATAGTTATATACTTGCATTTATACATTTGATTACAAAATGAATATAATGAACAACAAATACTCAGATATGGTTGTCAATACATAATTATGTATTTTCATTAAAATAATAACAAAAATTATAATGCTCTGCTATTTTTTGTAAAATTTTAAAAAATATATTTCTAATTTTTTTTAGTAATTCCTTAAATGTTGCTGACAAATTCTTCTATCTAGATCGCCGATCCAACCTTATTTTCAAGATGAACGATCTGAGTTACCGATCTGTTTTTTTTTAACCTTGCATGTTCTTTTGCAAGCCAATAGAATATATGATCACGTGGGAGCATGTATTCGTTCACTCCCCTCATGCAGAAGTCCTAATTTTCGAACCTGGCGTGTTCTTTTGCAAGCCAATAGAATATATGATCATGTGGGAGCATGTATTCGTTCACTCCCCTCAGGTAGAAGTCCTAATTTAGGACCCCAAGTGAATGTAAAATGGACTAATTGAAGAAAAAAAAAAAAATTTGATATATTGCCTATGGACTTGAAAAGCATGTTCTAAGGTCAAACAAAATGTTTACAGTTTTTAGACCATCAGATCTAAGTACCGAGGAACTCCAAATTCAACATTTTACTGCTTTTAAATTCTAATAAAGGAGGCTAAAAAAATCGACTTTTTATAGATTTTGAATTCTCATAAAGAGCATCTAAAGTTGATCTTTAAATTTTCCAGACAAATGAAATCCTCCTAAATCTTTTTGCCCACATAGTACCATGATCAAAGTATGCACTCACGCTCTTCTAATTAAATGGCACGATTTTCTTCCATTATTTTCGTTTTAAAGGTCTAAAATCATATATTTCTTTATTCTATCAAACACCCTCCCTCACTTCTCTATATAGTGCTTAATGATGCACACCCATCGATCAATATTAAAATTTAGATGATGATTAAATCTAAAACCAACACATGGGTCGGAAAAAAAACATTAGAAGCCACATGGGAAAAACCAATAAGCCACCACAGCATAATGGTTTACAATGGTTTATAACATAACTTCCCCACCAAAGCATGGAAATGAGGGTTACAGAGGCAGTTGTAATAGGTGCTTCTTATGCAGAGTCATAGGGTCCAAAAGTGAAGTTTACATTATAAAGGGCTACACTGAAGACCATGATCTTCTCTTTGTCAAATCTTCCTGTCAAATTGATTCCATAATAAGTATGGTAATAAGTTTATACACGTGCTTTAAAGTGCCTCTCTGCAACTCAAATTTGGTCTATATGGCAAACGAAAACCGGCTGTTGAAAGATGTGAGATCTTCCGGCAAGAAAGAGCATATGACGAAGTTCTTTAGTACGATCCGATTCACAAAATGCATAGAGAGATTGCAATGAAAACACATTTGTGTACACAAAAAATGACTAGTTCCTAGACTCCTGTAAAACTTTGAACAAATCAATACAAACCCTCGCTAGCGTAGCAAACAACTATTTCGTAACGGGTGAAAGAGATCACAGAACCCAACCCATCAAGAGAATGTGTAACACAACGGTTGGAGCTCTTACATTGATATTTCAACCCAGAATTTTGACAATGAGAATCAGGGTGTATATTAATGTTCTAGTATCATTCCTTGTAAGAACTTCAATCAAAACCAGCGTTGTAAACACTAGCAACCCCAACAGAGTCTGCACTGTCCACCTGTAAATTTCTTGGTTGCTTCAAAAGTTCTTCAGCCCATGAATCATCAGGTGTAGGATATCTGGGATGTGGTCGTCGCAAATTCAACCGAGACTCTGAATTACTAACGCTGACATTAGGTTGCGAATTTCTAACACTAACACTGGCACCACCACCATTGAAACCACTATCTGATTCCAAGTGGGGGTCAGGATGGAGAGGGATCACAAGAACAGGTCCCACAACATGGGGTGGGACATGCTCGACGGACAAAGGTGTGGGGACTGAGTTAGCATCGTGTGAATGGGCGTTGTGTGGTGGTGGATCCCGCAAGGCATTTGACTCAATTTTTTGTTGAAGCTCGGATTGGAGTTTCTCAATCTCCGCTTCCAGTACAAGTTTCTCGTCTCTAAGTTCATTCTTCTCCTCTGCAATCTGCAAAGATTCATCAAATGAAAAGGAAGTCATATAATGTATGATAAATTCTCGGTAGTTTTAAGGGGTTTTCTAGGAAATAGGGGCAGTTCAGCCATTTATAATATCCAATACAGGTAAAATTCACCTTGAGAAGGAACTTCGAGAGAGAAAAGAACAGCGAACTTAGAGATACACTAGGGTAAATTAGGTGACTTTCCAGATTACCGTGTTTTGATATTTGAATGGTAAGTTCTTAATAATCAGTCATAGAAATATATAAAGTTCATAAATCTTTCATTACGTTTTTTGCTAAGCTGCTCATTTAATTTTCAAATAAACTAAATTAGTCTATGTTGATGAGTTCGAGTTACTTACATAACGGGACTCTGTTAACAGGGCTGCATTCTCAGTTTTGAGGAACTCTACATGTGCGAACAGATCACGAAGAACTCTAGTTGCATCGATCAAAATGGAGGCCTTTCCATTATTTTGTCGATCGGGTTCTACAAGAAACAAAGCGTAAATCAATATTTTTATTGGGAACATATAATGATATAAGCATTATTACCATACAGGAAGCAGCAACTTATTTTGCAGGAAAAGGGAAAATATAAAAGGAAAGTAAATATACGATATGCAGGCTGCAACATGCGGATTTGGGGGATAAAAAGTTTCAAGGATGGTGGAATAGAACCAAATTTTCTATGATTAGCTGAGGTAACATTTACCGTATAAATTTACCAAAACAACCATCCAAACTGCATCAAGCAATTCCCACAAAGAATTGGTTATGTAAATACTAGCTATTGCCAAAGAATCTACTCTTAACAAATCAATTATGTTTGACAAGTAAGAGACTGACAGTTTCACGTATCGCCAAAATGCGACAAGCATATTTCGGCATTGGTCAGTTGGTCATAAGTGATTTTATTTAATTAGCTGGGAATGTTTCAATTGGCTTTATAAATATAACTCACTATCCACCATAATTTTTCCATAGCAACATTTACATCACAACTTCAAAGCTCTACTGCATCTGGAGTGGGTTATCTACTTAAAAATGGTTTCCCTACCACTTTTATCAAAACTCAAGTAAGAACTCTGGAAGTAACAAACACTTCAAATTCAAGTATAGTTATGGGGTTTCAAGAGTTTTATAATCCTGTTAAATTAAGAAAATAATTCCCTATCTTTCTTTTGAAATACTTGGATAACAACATGAAGGGAAAGTATATTATAATTCAATTGACTGTGGAAAATCCTTAGTTCATTGGATCATCAATGTCCATTAAAATGACTAATGGTGATCGAGAGCAGTGACATTTCACAGAAACAGGACCCCAAATGGTAGGTTTTGCATTCTCTCCATCATCATCCATTATTTCATCAGACTGTAATGATGCAATGGACAATGATGTTTACATAATGATTGTGATAAATAGTTAATTCCCCTATCCTAATAGCCACTCTATTCTCAGCAATCCTTTTCTGAACCTATGTGGTTGAGCAAAGTCGCAGTAACACATTTCCAATATCACATTTGAATGGTAGCATACAAACTCTTAATCAAAACTAAGAATAAATAGTCTAAGCAGTCATAGTGAGAGAAAATTACCAAGGGCTTGTCCCAGCTCCAAAAAGAGTTCATTAAATTGGTTGCGCTTCAATTTCTCCCTCTCAGCCTTGTGGACTTTCCTTGAAACTCTCCCCATGCTCTTCTTGAAGGTGGAACTTCTGCATTGCATCAAAGAAAGGGCAGAGTGAATAACTTGTTCATTGTGAGTTGTAACTTTTATCATTGACAAGCAATTTTTGCAACAAACCAAGGAGTATGCAAGGAAAAAAAGATCTTTTTAACTATTAGAAAAGCTAAACACCTCATGAAAATCTGGGTTTGGGCTTCAGCTCAACGCAAAGGACTTGTCCTTGATTAGATTTTGTAATCAACTAGATGATTCATTTGATCAATTTAGATAAGGCAGGAATGTCACAATGGTAAGGTGTCATAAACAAACCTAATATGTACAAACTGGAAGACTTAGGAAGAGAAAAAAAAAATTGAAACCCAGCTAAGAAATATTATTGTCGTGTACATTGGGGAAAAAATGGTTGTGTACATTGGGGGGGGGGGGGGGGCGTTCGAAAGGAAGAAGGAATGCTTGATTAGGCAGCAGAAATAAATACAAAAATGACAATAAATCTGCCTAGGATGCTTAAAGAATGAACAAGTCATTATATACACTAATAAAAACAAGTAATGCATAGAACTTTAATAAGTTCTACTTTAGACTGATATCTATTGTAGGTGGTCCAAAGACCACCTCAAGTAGGTACAGTCCCCCATCTTGTAGTAAATCGAATAAAAGGTTTACATTTTAAGAAACTGATTTACCATGAAGCGCTTAAAATAAAAAACTTAGGCATGGGGCTGAAAATCAATTTGATTTTCAAGATTCTTGTCTTGCATCCTTTGATAGAAGTAGAAGTGATACTTGATAAGTTATTTCTAAAATGTATTTCTGTAAAACAGCCAAACAGGTAGCCACAAGTCACCTCCAAGTAATTACAGTTCAATAATAAAGAGCAATAAGGCCATTCACTCCAACAGGTCTTAAGAAAATGGACACCTTAATTATTTTTCATTGTTGTATATTCGCCTATGGAGCATACTGTTAAATAATGGCATAAGCCCTTTGTTTTCATTAATGGAAATCAATTATTTATATTCATCATCAATCTCCAAAAATACTAGCTAGTCTCTTCATCCACCCAGCTTGTGCCCAATCTACCACATAATAACTTTCTAGCCTAGTAGTTCCCATAAACACAAAGCCCCAAGCATGAGTTCGGTTGACCGGTCCGTGAAGCAACAAGCAACATTCGTTATATCAAAGACAGTGATTCAAAAATCAGAAATTGGGGCTCAGACTTGACAGGGGTCCTCCTGGTTCAACTTGGATTGGAAGATAGTTTACCATAAATAAATTAAAAAAAAAAAAATAGAAAACTGAGAGACTCAGGCGATTCCGATTCTGGGGTTATTGGACCCAGAATTGCCAGCCTTACGGTTCCAATCCTACTCAGCCAATTCCAAGTGAGACCAGTGATTCTTGAATCATTGTCAAAAACCATTACATCCTTCACATTAACTCATGTCACAGTTCCCCAATTAAATCCAACATGGAACTAACAGCCTAGTCCAGTCTAAAACTCCTAGCATATTCCATTGTATAAGGAACAACATATTCCCTTAAAGTGTAAGAAAGTTTAAATGTTGCCACCAAAATTGGGGAGCTCACTTCCTAAGTCTTCAATTGAGATTTGAAGGGAGCCTTACCCTTTTTTCCCCAAGCTAAAGAGAGTTTGTTAGAGAAAGAGATAATAGCATGAAAGAACAAACTACTTTGAATTATATAAAATAGACTACCTAAAAGAAAACAGAACTTTGGATTTATGGTAAGACAGCTTTTTTAATTCAATTGCAGTATTCGACAACTCTGCTTCTGTTTCAATTCAATCAAAATATTTTGCAAAATTATAGGATTTGTTATACATTTTCTTAGTTCATTATATTGTAGTTCCTGCAAGATGTCAAAATCTTTGCACACAATAATTACTTGATTAAGAACGCCCAGGCTATGCAAAAATATATCACAGATAAAGTAATTAGAAGTAAAATGATAAGCTAACCTGAACTTTATAATAGAACAACATATTCATAATTGTTCAAAATCAAAATAAGACTAACCTCTCTCCTAAATTTTCATTGTTAACATTTGACTCAGTAGCCATAAACCACTGCAACTGAAGTTAATCTGAAGCAATGAAAGGCTTGGAATGCATAATCCAAGTAATAGTACGAAACAAATGACCCTGAGACAAAACCTACTGAAGCAAGATAATAATCATGTCATACAGAATTGCAACATCATGTCATACAGAATTGAAACATTTTGATTAGTTCTCTATTGTTCCTCAATAGACTCAAAGGTCAAAACCAACCACAAAGCTGCAATTTCTTGTCATAAAAGACAAGGATACGATGAAACTAGAGACTAGGTTCAGCTCATATATCAAAATCAGTTTTTGAGAAAAATGGAAAGAAAATGACAATTGATTAATCACTAAATTTTTTCACAAATATACATAATTCTGCAAATATGAAAACCAATAGTATTGCTTCAATGAATATATAATCGCTCTGCTTGTCCAATACTCCTTGGAAATGAAAATTATTAATGGACAAAATTTGAAAACAAATGAAAGAGAAAATCTAAGAATTAAAACAGAGAATCAGATAAAATCTTGAGATATTGTTGAAGAAAATGAAAAACCAACAACAAAAGGCGGAGTAGAGAGAGGCATATTAAAAAGAATGATGCCATGCCATACCTTGAATTTTCAATGGGAGCTATAAAAAACAGAAGCATAAGAAGAGGTAGAACGAAGACTAAGAGGAACTGAATTGTTTGGTAGATTTAGTGAGGAGGATTTGTTTGTGTTGAGAATGTGAAAGAGGCCGCTTCATAATCAAAAATGAGAGAGAGAGAGAGAGAGAGAGAGAGAGAGAGAGGGGCATGTGGCGGACATACGCCATTGCAGGGGCGTCCCCGCCGATGCCACGTGCTCCGCACGGGCTCAAGGAGCCGAAACATACGGCTCCCACGTGGCCACTCTAATCGGACAGCTCTTTCTATGCACAGTTGGCTCACTCAATTTTTGTAAAGAAATACCTTCAAAAAAGTATGTAATAAAATGGTTTATTGTGTGGTTACCATTCCTATTGACTATCACATATGAGATTTGAAGGTATGTGGTTGATTCGTTATAAAAGTCCAAGATAATTTTGTTAAATTGTGAGATGTACACTTATCCGTCAGATTTTACATCTCATCTTATGGTTGACGGTGATTTTGACTTCTCTACAGTAAAAAAAAAAATGACCAGTCCTGAAAGTTCATGTAGGGGTGAAATGTATAAATAAGATGTAAAAATAAATGATCAATCATGAAAGTTTATATAGTGGTGAAATGTATAAATAATATTATGTGTCTCAAAAACTTCCTGTTGATCATATTGAGTTTTGATCTATAAAACAAAGAAATTGAGTCTTACAAGTAGTTAATCTTGTAATATGTTATTTGGACCGACTATTATCAAGATTTTTAAGTGTTTATAGATGTTCTTTGTTGGCATCATTTAAAAAATTTAAATTTTATAATTAAAGGTAGAAATAGATTCGATACCCGAACTCTATCTTTCAATAGATTTTGAATGCGCACTTTATTTTGACTGTTTATATGTGTGCGATCAATGTTGCCACCCTATGTTGTGGGGTTGGGTGGATAAATAATAGAGTAAGCCGCCATTTCCTTGCGGGCTTTTTGAAATGGAAAATAGTTTGATAGGCCTGTAGTTCCATTCCAATAAATAAATAAGATTATTTTATACTGTGGGGACCGTATTTCTACATGTGCAATTCCTGAGGTATAAAGCATCCATTTTAAAGATGGATACAAATAGGTGGTCCATCTAAAAACATTTGAAATTAACCCAAATGTTTTTTTAATAGAGTTATAGTTCTTAATTTTCAAAATTATTTATTTTTATACTCATGACCTCTATGTTAGAGATTACATGTCCTTAAAAATTAGGTCAAAAAATCCATCTCAAATATAGATTTTTAAGAGGTGACTCATTTCTAAATGAGCTCATAAAAACCGTGTCCAATAAGTAAAGCCCCTTCAAACTCATCGAAAAGTATAATTCAAGCATTGGAAAACCTTTACATGCATCATATCAGCTTGAACATTATGGTTGTGAAGAAAAATTAGGATTTCAAACTCTAAAAATAGTGTATGTTGTAACAAATTATCTAGATCGTCTATTTCACCATCAAAATAAATGTTTGCAAAATCTGTACATTTTATTGTCGGTGTTGAAAATTGATTTTAGAGCCATCGTAGAGATTTTTATTGCCGAAACTGCTTTCGGGATGAGTATTTAAGGTGAGGCTTTATTATGTTTCTATAAAGCCTAATAAAGTTTCTATAAAGCCTAATAAAGCATAGGCTTTATAGAAACTTCATCCTTTTGGAATATCTGTTACTATTCTTAAAGCATTCTAGATCGAGAAACTCTTTTAACTAGTATTCTTCCATTCCAAAATTTTGGGACTTATTTTAAAATTAGAAGTATTTCCTCAGTTCTAAAATTTTGAGATTCATTTTAAAATCTCTTATATATATTTTTTCTTGTGGTGTATATGGTTTTTATTTTCTCTTTGACATTTTATTTATGATCACTCTTTCTTAATAAAACTTAGTAATTGCCATAAAAAGAAAAAGACGTGTTGCTAGGTTGAAGAGGTTATATCCTAAAATTTGTGAACCAAAATGTACTCCTAAATAAGGTTTTAGCCCTGCCGTAATATATAATCCTTCTCATGACTTTAGCAATGAGAGTTATAGACTGAAGGTGCATAGAACCCCCATGTGCAGCACTACATATCTAGCAGCCCTGCCATGATCCATAGCAGAAATGGTAATAGAAATAGTACTTGTAAGACCAATATTGGTAGAATCTTCAGTAGTGTCGGGTGTTGTTGGTCTTGCTCAATCTAATATTCTTTTTTTTTTTTTTTCTTTTTTCTTTGAGATTGTCTACAAAGAAACTATTTATCTTTTTTACAAGGAGGTCACAACTATTTCCACTCATTAAATGTCAAATTGGACGGCTTCGGGTGAATCACGAAATCCGAAAATTTTTTTTTTTGAATATTGTATCTAATCAATGATATTGTTTCAACCATCCATTTTGAAATCTAAAGAGGACAATAATGATTGTGATCTCTTTGTACAAAGTAAATAGTCTATTTGTAGATAATCCCTTTTTCTTTTTGTGTAAATTAACAATAAGGGCTATGTGTATGTGTGTTGGATTAGTGATTACCATTTATGCCTTCATCCAGAGCATCTTCTTGCAAGTAGCAAATAAGATGGCCGGTTTAGGGCAAAATAGGTCATGAAAGTTGGTCGGCTAGCACCTACTTATTAGTTTATGGGCCGTTCATATATGGTAGCCAAACATTATATACTCCCCAGGAGCATACTATATAGGATTATTTTTCGGCACCCATGCATGACTTCCTCCACCTAAAAACAAAATAAAATCATAAGCATTTTATATATGGCAAAAAAAAAAAAAAAAACTTCGTAAGCTTAAACAAAGATAATCCAATTACATGGTCAGTTAAATCCAAATGCTCAAGAACTCATATCTTTTTCTTTTTTATTGAAAATATTCATCTGGTGATTGATGATCTAAAGTAAATTCCCAAATTTCAGATCGAAAATGCCCAAATTTCAGATCGAAAAAACCCTCCTAATTAAACCTTCTAACATCCTTCAAATGGATGGAGGAAGTACACATCATGCTCCAACAAGAGTATGCCTTATGCACCCTGTACGATATGCATGCCCTCCGTGGAACTGCCATGATCTTCCTAATTTTGCAAATGAGAAAGCATTGCAATAACTGGTGGTGCATTCACCAGGATGCAACTAATCTATGTGATCATGAGGCATACCATAATCCTTAGTTTTGAACTATCTATCTTTTTTACAAGGAGATCACAGTCATTTTTTGTTGTTATATTTGAAATTTGAAGGGTGATAGTGTGTGATTGATTAGGCTCAAAGTTCATCACATAAAACGCAACCCCGAATCAATTGAAATTCTATTTTGAAAGTAAAATAGAACTCTAACCACTGAACCCCAAAAGGAACCCCTCTCTCTCTAGCAACACCACCTAATGTGCATTATTCATCCCTCGAAGTAAGAATAAATGAGAATTAGCATCTGTGTCCTGCTTACACATTAAGCATATGTTGGTGATGTTCATTCCTCTCTTTCTCAATTTTTCAACAGACGGGGTACGGTCTTGTGCCAATAGCCACAGGTTGGCCTTCACCCTCAGGAGCATTGATGGACCGCACTTTTGCTATGGAAGGTCTACTATTAATATATCTCTCTCTTGTTAGGAGGGCATAGAGAGATTTAACTCTGAAAATTCCCCAGGAGTCAATTTCTAGATTACCTGTTATCTTTGGTAGAGGAATAGAGAAAAGAGTGTAGGGCTGCATTGAGGTAATGAACAATCCTTCTGTGACAACATTGACCTTTCTGTTGCCCAAAGTGATATTCCAGAGAGTCTGATACCCTTCACCTTTTGTGGAACAAAAACTGGTTCTCATCCTTGTGCCCACCAGAATTCTAGAGTTTGTTAAAAATAAATATCTAAAAAAATTGATGCCTTTCGAAACAGTCGATGCTGAGGAGCCAGAGGAAAGTCTTTTAGGAATAAATCCCTCAGCTAGGCCATATTTTCCAATAATAACGTCCTGCCAAATTTGGGTGGTGTTTTGGCTTAATCTCCACTAACATTTGGTTAAAAGGTATTCATTCATGGGTTTAAGCTTGTGAATTCCCAGTCCTCCTCGATGCTTTAGAATGCATACCTTGTCCCATTTTACCAAATTGAATTTTCTCCCTTCTACTGATCCACTTCACAAGAATTTCGCATCAAGGCCTCCAAACTTTTGATTAAACAAGCTGGAGCTCTGTTTAGGGAGAAATAGTTTATGGGAATATGGGAGACTTAGCTTTGATGAGTGTGATTCTATACCTCATGGACAAATATCTACTCTTCCAACCTTCCAATTTATATTAGAAACTGCTCAATTATGGGATCCCAAGCTGATTGTGATAACCTGACATTAGTAAGAGACTAAGAGGGACACCTAAGTACTTAACCGCACTACAATTTAAACGCTCGGCCCAAACGCTTAACTCCTCATTTGCACAATTAATCCCCATGATCTTCGTCTTTCCCATATTTATCTTGGCCCTTGAAACTAGTTCATAACATTTATGGAATAACCAAAGATTTTGGATACATATTTGACTCTCTTCAGTAAGGACTAAAGTATCTTCAGTGTTCTATAAGTGCGCTTTGAATCAAAGGTATATAACATTAAGTACTTGACTTAAGGATTCACCTAGCAAAGTGTACATGAAAGGAGACAAATGATCGCTTTGTCTCAAGCCTCTAGTGGCTTTAAAATAACCACAAGCTTTGCCATTCATCAAGTGGGCTGAAGACGTACAACCCATTATCCACATTCTCCACCTGTTCTCAAAACTCATTAGCCTCATAATTTTGTGTAGGTACCACTCAATCCTATCACATGCTTTCTTAGAATATCGGAGTTTTTAAAGTAAGGAGAGCAAGCGGGCTCTATGTGGAGAGGGGATCTATGCCTTTTTCCTATTATTATTTATATCTCATAAAAACCTCACTTCATGAGTACAAAAAAAAGAAAAATATGATTTTAAGTTTCAAAACTTTTATAGCATATAAGGAAAATGTTAATATAAAGCGTGGTCTTATGGAAAAGAGTAAATCCTCACCTCAAAACTGAATGAAAATTAGCATCAAAAAAATTCCAAATTTGATAACTTGACTTTGACTATTGTAGTTGTGAAAAGATAGTGTATATTGTAATGCATTATCTTGACAGTCCATTTTCAAGTGTTCACTGATTCACAAGATCTGTATCACTTTTGGAGCTACAAATTTATAATAGGCGGTGGAAATAGATTTTAGAGCTATTATAAGGATTTTTCATACCCAGAGTGTTTTATAGGCGAGGTTTTGAGGTGAAGCATTACTTTTTTTTCATAAGCCCTAGGCTTTATAGAAATCATCCATCATATAATACATTATTTAAAGGGTGCGGTTTGTATAGAGCCTAGGCTCTAAACAATCAAATTAGAGCCTACCTTCAAATATTGTCGGGAAATGTGGTTTCAATACTAGAAATCTTTGTGATAGCCTTAAAATACATTTTCATCTTTATTTATAAAGTTTAAAGCTTCAAAAAATACTGTAGATAAACAGATCTATAAAAAATTGAAAATATTAAAAATTGATGATCCAAAAAAGCGTTATAAAATACACTATTTCCAAAACTTGAAATCCATTTTTTTTCTCATGTCCATGCATCTTGATGTCGAGATTATCAAGTTGAGGATATTTGAGCATCAAAACAACATCTTCTAGTGAAAATTTTAAGGTAAGCTCTTATTTGATTGTCTAGAGCCGCGGCTCTATATAAACTTTTTCCTTATTTAAAACGTCCATTTTCACTCAATTATTCTTAAAGAACTTGCATATTATAATACCATCTACAAGGATGTTACAATTATCCCAAGCAGTTATATACGAACTCTGATGGTTGGAGTGTATCATAAAGCTTGACTAATTTTTCTCATCTTTTAGCTAAGTCGATAACACACTCGCAGCCATATAATTTCACAACCCATGGGTAAATGTGGCCTTGTTGCACTAATTTTTTCGATGTGGCATAGAAATAAAAAAAAAATTTGAACAACTATTTTATGCGGGCTGGACCGTATTTGTACAATATGCAATCCGGAGCTATAAAGTAATCATCTATGCATGCAAATGCAATTAGGTGGTCTATCTAAAATCAATTGAAATTAACAGTCCATTTTTTTAATAGAATTAATATTTTTAATTTTTAAAATTTATTTATTTATTCATATTCATGATAAAGATTATATATTCTTTAAAAATTAGGATCAAATTCTATTTTAAAAATAAATTTCTTAAGGTGCCCGCTTTTCTACACGAGCGGGCTTGACCGCATGCTAACCGCTTCCAATTTTTTATATTTTTTGGGTGTTTCAGCGGTCGGAACCGAGCTTACGTAATAGTGGTACTACTGGCTGCTAGAAGTTAAAGAAATGAGATTTATTAGTGGTGCTGCGACTAAGTATTGTGGATCCGCGGTGTTACGCTAAACCGTATATCAACAAAACAAGTACCAACGGCACGGCTGCGGCATCATTGTGTTGCTCAAAAACCAGTAATCAACCATGGCTAGGGCATCATGGTGTTTCCCTAATACCAGTGATTAACAATGACTAGGACATCCTTTTGTCGCTGGAGCCATTCAAACACGGTCGTTTTGATCTGGGTCTCTTCTGCAATTATCTTTTTCCTGGTCTTTCACATGGCGCTTGATAATTCTCTCTCTTCTTCTCGTCTCAATCAATCAAGTGATCCAGGTATGGCTTTTTTGCCATAATATTTTTTCAGTAGTTTTTACGCTGACAATGAAGTTTGGAGTCATCGCGAATTCTGAGGCAATTACGTGCTTGAGGCCTCTGCAAATTTTGAAACCCTCGGTCTGGTTTTAGGAGGAAACCATTTGAACCCTAGATTTCGATCGAAGTGTGCCCTTTGTGAAATTTGAAATCTTAAATTTGGCCTCTGGTTTTGTCTCTATTTTTTGGCTCAATTTTCTGGGTTTTTTCCATCATTGTTTGATACGGATTTTTTTTTTCTTGAATAAGGAAAACTCACGGATGTTGTGATTTCTCTTGGCGATAGATTTACAATGGCATTGATCTCAATTTTAAAAAAAAAAGAAAAAAAAAAAAAAAAAACTTGAACTGTGTTACATGATATTTTGTTGACTTGGGTACTACAGCTGAGCGTTTTTGCAGAAATTCTTTCAGTTTCCTGTACTTGACGTGGTTCTGTGATTTCTGATAATTGCATTTGTTTAAATAAAAAAATTATTGCAGTGCAATGCAACTTATATTGAATATATACATCATTCAGGCTATGCTAGTACAAGTGCTAAGCAGCGTTCGGCATTGTATGAGAAAATGGCAAGGGATCTAGATGAGCATGGTGCAAGCTTTCTTCAAGGCGGAGCTACTTCTCAGTCACTATCTATCTCTGACATTTTCTCTTTTAAGGATGATTCAGTTATTCCTATACTCAAGGTGAAGGCTTGGTTCTATGAAATTTAGTTCGTCGTCCTTATTTTGTGTTGTTTAATATTTTGTTTGCGGTTTGGACACTAGCTTATGGGCTGCATTTTATGAAAACCCATGTACGATTTCTAATTTTCTATGCTTTGGCATAAATTTTATGCTAAGCACATGTTGGACTGAAGTTTGGATTCCGATGTCTTGGCATCAATTTTATGTTGCATTTCTTTATGTATCAACAATGGTGGTTATGTTTTCACTCTGGAGCACTGTAGTAGATGTGATTCAGGGGAACAATGTTCTATTGGTGGTATGATGCAGGCTGCAGACCCTCCAGTTCGTGCTACTGTTCTATACTTGTATCCGGAATCTGCAAAGCCCATATCGTAAGTTCTTGTTTGTTTTCCAAGGAAAAGTGTGCCGTACAGATTAGTTCAAAAAGAAAGTATACCTTATATATCCTGTGTATGCTATACCATCCATACACAGCTTGGATATCCAGCTTCCGTTGTCAATGATGGACGATGGAGATTTGCCATAGTTCTGATGAAATACCTACATCCGGAACAAAGGTTGAAAGTCAGAAAAAAGTGAAAATCTGTTGAACTAATTATCTAATATAATCCCCTTTGCATTTGTATTGTTTATAGCACTATATATGAGAAGCCAATTTGCAAATGGTTTTCTTCTTTCAAGTGACCTGCAGTGGTCTGACATGCACCTTTTTTAATGGGTTGTTGCAGTGATACTGTAAAGAGTATATTTATGCAATACTTTGGCAGAGGTAATAGTCCAATTTTTAGTTATTAAGACTAGGAATCTCAAGGTTTTTTCACAATTTGATGAGGAAGATTATTGGTTCCTATCTAATATGGGAATTATCAAAATAACCAAATTTTTTTGCTTATTTATCCTTAGCTTTCTTCTTTTACATGCTTATATACCTCATTTTGTGTTGACCAGCAATTTGGTTCCAAAATGCAAGTCTATATCACTTCAGTATGTTTCATGCATCTCATCATCTAGAACCTGTGACTGCGACTCCTGATGAGGTACCCCATATTTCTTTTAGATTCTCATGTGGAGACTTCTCATTTGTAGCAAGGAATAAATATCACTAATACAAGAGTTTCTCAATTTTGATATTCTGCTCCATTGGTTGCATATTTTCCCTTTCTCAAAAGATCGAGGCTGAAGGGAATGCGATTAAAGCTGTCGCTGAGGTTATTTGTCCACTGAAAATCATCTTGGATAGGGTCGTTTTAACTTCAACTGGTGTGCTTTTGGGTTGTTGGCAGGTATACATACAATATTTCCATTTTTTTAATGGTTTTCCTTGCTTTCCACGACTAGTTGGAGTATTCTATGTTCATTTGTGTCAGTTGAAATGTGTTGTTATCTCATCTCCGTTGTAAGTTGTAACTTGTAGTGTTGGATAAAAAACTTGTTAAGAAGTTTGTTGCATTGCAATCCATTGGCACTGCTTCCACAACAGCATAGTGGTTTTGATGGTCCACTTCATGGTGTTTATTCCGTTTTTGGTTATCACTAGGAAATGCAGGACTAGGTGCACTGCCTATTTGGATGATCCTATTTGTAGTGATAAGACTGCCTTATGTTAAGTGGGTGCATGCCAGCTTAGCGCGCTACTATTCACAGTGCAACTTAAGGGTTGGAACCATTCTTATCTACTAAACATCATCAATAAAGCCCATTTGATTTTATGGGTAAAAGAAAAACTCTAATTTTCCTTTATCCCCAAAAAACTTGGATATTGTTCCACTTGATTATAGTCAGTAAAGAACTCTTTCATGATCACCCATAAAGGGAACGGAACTTAAGGCTTCGATATGCCTACCAGGACGTCCAAACGGGGCCATAGTATATATATCCCATAGGTTTCCATGAACAGTACTAGAATTGAGGTCTGATTCAATCATTTTAACTGCATACAGGCTTGATCTGAGTCCTTCAAAAATGTAACCTCCTCATAGGTATGACTGAGTTTGTGGAGAACCTTGATGAAGTCCATAGACATACTGCTCTTCTTGTCTATGGCTTGGAGTAATCTTCAAACAATTTTTTGGTTAATTATATTTTAATTCTATATTTTTATATAGTAATGATAGATATGTGGAGAGTTGGATTAGGAATGGGGCTCTTGGCATGGTGGTCAGGGTGGTAGAGCCACAATGTGATGTCAAGATTTCCAACTCTACCCCATTAATGTGTCAAAAGGAAAAAAATGTGGGGAGTTGGATTATTTTTTATGATTGTAGAAGTTTCATCAATTCCTGAAGAACTCCTTTATATTTCTGTAGTGCAGGTGACCTCTGGTACTGATCCAGTAGACATTCGGGCAAAACTAAGAAATGCCCTTCCACATGCTCCCCAAAAGCAGCTTGTAAGACACCAGTTATTATTATTTTTGCACCATCTTATTCAAACAGCAGTTTGGTCAATAGATTAGGCAATATACTTGCACTTTATGCCTACTTAAGTAAGCCTAAGTAAAGATAAATCCCAATTATGACTAATTATGGGTTGTAGTTGTACTCCCATCTTACATAAGTGTACATTTTCTCGTTTGATCTACAGTATAATCCTGTTATGCTCCATACTTCCCTTGCAAGGCTTCTTGGACCCCCTCAAATGTCCTCACAGGTGTCGTACAAACTTCTCTTCTAGTTTTAAAATTATACTCTTTTGATAAATTTGGAGGATGTAGCCATGTGTTGATTGCTTTGAAGGAGTCTTAGTTTCTTATCCATTGGCGCTTGGCAGTGCTTTGGCTGTAGCGTAAATTTTCGTACTGGCGAGTATATTACCATCATATTCTGAATGACAAAGTTTTCAGCATGAAACACAGGAATCGATAGATCATGACTTGATGGATTGATGCAAAATTGGAATTCATTATGTTTTTAGTAAATAATATTTGATTAACCTCAAACATATCTATCATATTAGGCATTAATGGCCAACAATGTCTCAATTGTATCAGTAAGAGAATTACAAATTTTTTCAAAGGTCTTTTTAAAATCCGAATTGTCATAGAACCAAGTGAACTTAGCCATGTCAGCATACAATGCTGAGTGAAATTGTAATTTCGAAACAATTACCATAGTTATTTCTTTTGTATTCTTTTCTATCTTTCAATATCACAACTTTGGATCAACTTCTTATTGATCTCTTCTTCACTTAAGATCGAATGTGGATGTGATAGTTTTTTAAGCATGTGTACTGATAAATATTATTGGTATTAGATGTACTTACTGATGATTTCAATTTCTTTTCTTCTCATTTAGGAGAAGCACATGCATAGTGATCAACTCAAACTTTTCCAGGATCTAGTTGAACGCGCGAATCAAAAACTTAAGGGATTTGAGGTAGAATCAAATTACACATAACTCCATTTTTTTCCCTTTGAATTACCTTGAAGATACCTTTACTGGATCATTACTATTTGTTGGTCAAAATCAAGATAAATGATATTGTCAGATTCAATGATGGCGAGATATTGTTGTGTTTTAACTTGATGGATGAACCTTTCACTTGTTCCGATTCATCAAAGTGAAGATATGTGTTGCATGAATTTGCACTAGTTTTTAGATTGTGGCTTTCTTCATGCATGTCTGTGAAGATTCACAAGTTCAGTGTCTCTCAGTCCCTTTCTTTACGATATTTTATTTTGTGTAAAATTTTCTCTCATACATTTGCCTGAGTCATCATATGGCGCAGTGTTCATCTCAAATAGCGAAACTTTGGCTTCTCAGAGCATTAAAGAAAAACTTTTTGCCAAAAAATGAAAAAGATTCCGATTATCTCTTGGATTTTAACGCTTGAACTCTTAATGTTGAATGATCAGGCCACAATTTCAGAGCTTTGGTTTGTTGAAGAATTTGATGTCCTAGCCCTTGCGCTGAATGGCAGAATGAAGGTGCGCAAGTTTGATCTAATTTGCTCAAATGGCTGATATAATTACTATGAAATCTTTCTGCAGCTGGTGGGGGTGCTTGTGAGTCCTGAACTCTGATATTTCGGGCTAGACTTTAAGGTCCTTGGGCCGAGCATGGGCTATGCGTAGTAGGCCCAATCATTTTCAAGACAGCGCACGGTCCCCCCCCCCCCGCCCCCCCCCCCCCACCACCCACGGGATAGCCCTGGCCTGGCCCAAAAATCGACATTTCTATAGTCCATACATTGTAATTTCTCAATAGGCACTGTACGCACTGTACTTTCTGTTATCCGTATACCATATATGATACTGCATATAAAACTATGTAGTACTTACTATTGTCTGCTCTTTATGGGTTATACTTACGGGCAAGCTTTATATGCTTCCCCTACAACACAGAAGTTCTATCCTCCCCTTTATCCAACCGTTCATTCTGAATGGAG